CACCTCTATCCATTTTTTCAGCTGTGAACACTTAAATGGTCTTTTCCTTTGTCTAACACACGTCACTTGCACGCTCTTGATGGTTAGGCTTGGGATCTGGTGACTTCAGTGTGAAAATACTGCTTGTATTGTAAATAAGTAGCTAAGCAAGACAAATTAATGTTTGCTTGTGTACTTCTAGTTATCCAGGGTGCAAATTTTCATTTAAAATATATTAGATTTCCAACTAAACTTGCTCATTTTCTGTGTTAGCGTATTTTCCAAGTGCTGTTCTTTCATTTTACATTTCCCCACTTTCTTCTTAACCGTCCCTGGTTGGTGCTAAGCAACCTGAATTTGAATTGTTTAATTATTTAAAAAAGTGTCCTTAATAGGTTACTAAGCCCCAACCCGAGTTTCATGAACTGATAAATATGAAGTGTAAGTTAGATTAAATAAATTCCAGTGTGTACTGTGGTTTTGTGTTGTTACTCATCTTTGCCAATCTGTATTAAAAACTCATTGCCTGCTGCCTTAAATTAATGTTCAGGTTATGAGCTCAACCAACGGAGAAGTGAATACAGACGATCCCACGGCGGGACACTCCAACGCTCCCATAACTGCCCCTGCTGAAGTAGAGGTGGCTGATGATACAAAGTAAGTACAGTTTTTACAAAACCATTAATACCCAAATTTCCCATACAAATGTTTTCTTTTAAATAATTTGCATAGTCTTCCATACTGAGCCGTTTCCCTTTCCTTTTTTAAGTGTATTCGATAAAGATAAAGAAACTGCAAAGATTTATCCCACCAGCCACTAAGGTTGCAGTGTCAACCTTATCAGTTTATCAGTTTATTAATTCTTATATTGAATCGGTCTTTTTGTTAATTCATTTCAATTCATAATTCAATTCTCTAATTGAAATAAAGCTGAAATATAAATATTAAACTTTAAAGTTAAAAATAATTTTAAATGATTCCTTGGCAACTAACTGAACTACAATAAGCTCAAGTAGTAAAATTACTAAAAATGAAATACCCACCAGTTACATATAGTTTTACACAATTGTGCAGTCTGATCCATGCTAACATTAGGAGACATTTGGGCCTGTTTTTGTCCTAGTGCAGTGGTTCTCAACCTTTTTTTCCACCGGGCCGCACTATGGTTCAAGTGCAAGTCTCGCGGGCCGCAAGCATATCATTTACATACTACGTCAGCAATACAAACCAACCTGATTTATAATATTATAGCCTAAATATTATGATATCTAATCGATTACATTCATTGAAATAAATAATTCTACTCCCCATAAATAACACCCAATTTTGTGAAATTCGGCTCGAAAGGAGTACAGCACAATCATTATGCGTGGGGGGGGGCACCCACTGGCAGACGAGCCACGAGCACTTTTTTATATGTTCTACATTTCATGTATTTCCTAGTGGGTTTGTAAAATTAGCTTTCAACTGCCTAACTAAGACGACGTTTGACAAGTTTGAGAATGAAGGGAGGAGATTGCAAAACCGTCTTCAACTCATTCGCTCTTTTCAGGTGCTGTTGTTTTTTCAAGAGGAGGAAGAGGAAAACGCTCCAGCGGCACAAGTGAGGAGGAACATCTTTGAAACGTTAAGAGTCACTGGTGCGTTTAAAGTAAAAACAAAAGCAAAGGACTTGAGCTGAAAACGTGGAGTTCTTCTCTCCCTTTCTGTCTCTGCTCCGCCTCAGAACAGAAACTCACTGCCTCACTTTTGGCATCTGCTCAGCGAGGACACCTCAGTACTCTGCGCTCTGACACTCTTTCTAAGGAAACAATTCAGTGGAACAAATAAATATATTTGTACAATGTGGGACACCAGAAGAGACTTCAGTGGTCAGAAACAAGATGATATATGTTACGTGACTTAAACCCAGATGGACTGTTTAATCTTGTATTTTAGATGACATGCAAAACCATTATTTGAGAACTAAAAGGCAACCAGACTCACACTTACACACAGACATCCGTTCACTTTGACACTGGCTGGATGAGTGAGTGATGTGCTCCATGGTGTTTTTGTTTTTTATGGGATCAAAATAAGTGGGGAAAGACTGCTGACTGACGTATGGAGAAAAGTACACCGATTCAGACAACCAATGTAAATTCTGTCTTTCCTTTTTGTTTTTGTAATTTAAAAAGTTGTTTTGAAGATCTGCTCTCCCAGTTTTACTCATGTTGTAGAATGTGTGAACATTTTTTTAACCGCTCTTAGAGTTTCTTTATTTTCTCTTTTTTTTTGTATTATTATTTTTTTTTACTTCCTCTTTTTTTCCCTGTCGATGTGGATGATGTTGTTGTAGCACAGTGGCTGGTCTCAGGTACTGTGGGAGATGGAGAGAAATGCATTGGACCTCTCCTATGTGAATTGCACTTTTGGGGGGAGAAAAGCGAACCGTTTGGCATTTCTGGCATTGAAATGAACAGAAAGCAACAGAAATAAAGGCAGACGTTGGATCATTTATACAGCAGGGCTGGTCTCTCCCAAAGGGACAGAAGTGATTCTCTCAGTCAAAATTGTGCTTTTTTGTTTGTTTTTCACATTAGATTAATTTACCTGGGAATCATAGTTTGTGCCTTTCCAAGTAAAACATTTAACACTAATGTGTCTCTCTCTCTACGATTCCTAACCAGGTGAAGTGTCCATGGCCCTCTCAGATTGTTTGTTCTCTACTGTGCGCTCCATGCCAGTCTAATTGAGCCTGTTGGCATTTCTCAGATTTCTTTTTCGTTGTTGTAAAGTGCATCAGCAAAGCTCCATGAAGACGCGAGTCTGTGGGTTTATACGCAGTAACAGAGGTTGCCTATCAGAATGAGGATGTGTATTGATTTACATACCTATTAAATGTTGCTTTTCTTCTATGCCTCATAAGATGTTACATGTTGTGTCTGTGCACAATCACTGTTTTGAGTTTATGGTTGTGGTTAATTATTGCGGTTATTTCTGCAACAGTGATTTCAGTAGAGTCAACATCATGTGACATACAGAGGCAGTTGCAGTTAATCACCAGGATGCGGTGCCACAGAACAGTGTTTCCCAACCGGGGTGCCGTGTAAAAAAATCCTTTTTTAATATTTTTAAATTGCTAAAATGTAAAAAAAAAAGAAAAGCAGCTATTATATAATATCCAATTCTGATGTCGCCAATAATTAGAGATGCACTGAAATTTCCGGCTGCCGAAAATTAGTTCACCGCTCAGGTTTCACTTTCACGTGGTGTGACGCTCTGCGTGTTATCCCGCTCTATGCGTGTGCGCTCCGCTCAGTCGCTCCACTCATATACCGTTCATGCTCAGGTTTGCAATAACATGAGTAAAAGGTGAGTAAATGATGATGACAATTTTTATTTTTGGGTTAAACTTAGTTGTGACAGAGAGTTAATTTCAATTAACTAAATACGCATTGAATTTAGTGTTGCTGAGTGGCAAGAAAAAAATCTAAATCAACTAAAATAAATAAATTAAATCTCTCGGGCACACACATTTCTTTTTTAAGCAGAAACATGGGAGGAATATACAGTTGTGCTCAAAACTATTCATACCCTTGGTAAATATGATCAAAGAAGGCTGTGAAAATTAATCTGTATCATCAATCCTTTAGATATTTTATTTAAAAAATGGACTAAAATCTAACCTTTCATTGGAGAATAAGAATTTAAAATGGGAGAGAAATCTCATTATGAAATAATTTTTTTTCTCTAATACACATTGGTCACAATTAATCATACCCTTTTATCCAATACTTTTTGCAACCTCCATTTTGCCAAGAGAACAGCTCTGAGTCTTCACCTATAATGCCTGAAGAGTTTAGAGAACATCTGACAGGAGATCAGAGACCATTCCTTCATCCAGAATCTCTCCAGACCCTTCAGATTCCCAGCTCCATGTTGATGCTTCTCCTCTTCAGTTCACCACACTCATTTTTTATAGGGTTCAGCTCAGGGAACTGGGTTGGCTAGGGCAGAAGCTTGGTTTTGTTCTCAGTGACCCATTTTTGTTTTCATTTTGATGTTTGTTTGTGGATCATTGTCCTGTTGGAAGTTCCAACCATGGCCCATTATAAGATTTCTAGCATGGACAGTCAGTTTTAAAAAATTTTATCCATTGGTATTTTATAAAATCCATTATGCCATCTATCAGAATAAGATATCCAGTATCTCCGGCAGAAAAATAGGCCCACAACATTAAAGATCCAGCAGTATATTTCATTGTACACATGGGGTACTTTTTTATCCCTGTGTGCACCAAACCCATCTTGAGTGTTTGCTACTAAAAAGCTATTTTTTAGTTTCATCTGAACATTGAACCCAGTCCCATTTAAAGTTCCAGTCGTGTCTAGTAAATAAATGTGCTGGAGTTTGTTTTTGGATGAGAGCGTTTTCTTTTCTAGTTTTTTCTTGAAACTCTCCCAAACAACGTTTTTTTGTGTGTGTTTTTTTAGGCTTTCTGACCCCAAGACTCAACTATTTTCTGCAGTTCTCCAGCTGTGATCCTTGGAGTCTTTGGCCAAATCAAACTCTCCTCCTCACCGTGCATTAGGACGATATAGACACACGTCCTCTTACTGTATTAGAGAACTATATTTATTTCATAATGTGATTTTCCCCCACTTTCACTTTTTTTTTCACTTTAATAAAAAGGTTAGATTTTTTTTTTTACATTTTTGAATAAAAGATCAAGTGGATAAACAATGCGTATTTATTTTCACAGCCGCCTTTGATCATATTTACCAAGGGTATGAATAATTTTGAGCACAACTGTAGTTTATGTAGAGTGCTGATTGAACAGCAGGTGGGGATAACGTTTTTTGACAACTGCTACATTATTGTGTTATGTGGCTCATACACTAGCAAACAAAAAAATGCGCGACTGTATTGTGGAAATAAGCTTAAAAACCACGACTGCTCATATTTTGCGACCACTCACCACCATAGTCGGTCGTATTAAAGAGGATATGGCAACACGCCGGATGAGAGGGTGTGGCCTAAAAAACACGTCATGACAACACGAATCGAAAATAACAAGGCGCTACGCTATACTACGTTTTGCGCACTAGACAAATTCAACATTAACCATGCTGAATTAATATTTACCAACATGACATTTAAAACTGTAAGCCTCTATCCATGAAAGAGAATGTTACAATTTCAATTCGCGCCTAATCCATCGTGACTCAGTCAGCTGACCAAATCCTTGGGAACTGACTCTTTCTACAGTGATGGACCGAGAGCCTTGAACTGCCCACCAGACTCATTCTCCCTGCAGTGTGGAAGCCGGCGCTGGAGAGGGCAATATGCTGAGCTCGATCAAAGGGAATACGCATTTTTAGCCGACTGAGGGTTGACTGTATCGCGTTAATCATGCCGGACTCTTCAGAAGCCTCTTTACCCGCGTGCAGGCGCTTGAGTTACTCAGTGGGGCATTTTCTCAACGACCTGTGCGCCTCTATGTGGTTCACATACCTGCTGGTGTTTTATCATTCTGTGCTGGGCTTTCAGAACATATATGCTGGTGTGTTGCTGCTAGTGGGACAAATAGCGGATGGAGTGTGTACACCGCTCATCGGTTATGAGTCTGATAAGACACCCGGCTGTGGATCATATGGGAAGAGAAAAACATGGCATTTAGTCGGTGAGTGACGAGGAACTTAAAGGGACAGTTCAGCCAAAAATGAGTCTGTCATCACCATGTTGTTCTAGACCTGTATGACTTTCAAAATAAGATTTCAGGGATGAATTCACTTTAATTTTCATATTATGTCCTTAGTAAATTGTGACACAATTTGTTTTTGGGTAAATTGTCTCTTTAAGGTTTATCTCTTGCATATTTATGTATGATATATTATTCTCATTTACTCTCTTTTTACTTTATTTAGGAACTATTAGCGTCCTCCTGTCGTTCCCCTTTATATTTAACCAGTGCCTGGGCTGTGATCTGGACACTCCACAGTGGGTCAGTCTCACTTACTTCACCCCCTTCATCGTCATCTTCCAGTTTGGATGGGCGGCCACCCAGATTTCCCATCTCTCCCTCATTCCCGAGCTGGTGACTTGCGAGCATGAAAAAGTGGAGCTCACTGCGTACAGGTAAACTCGTGCAGATCTGCACATGTAATGATCAACTATTCTCGTGACGTTTGTTTGGAGGACTTTGTCTGTAGTGACCGGGATGATGTCTTAGCTTTTTATTGTATTTTGGTTGTATCCTTTAGGTATGCCTTTACTGTGATAGCCAACATCACAGTGTATGCAGTGGCCTGGCTGATGTTTCATTTTCAGACTCAGGAAGGAGATGATCCTGCCATTACGGAAAACCTTGGCCTGGTTGACATCCCTGTTTTCAGAGTGAGTGCTGAATTTACTGTGCTGAACAGAACCCTTGGTCATTTCATCCTGCATTAAAAATAGTTCAATTAAAGACCCCATGATTTTAAAGGGGCCATATGATGCTGCTAAAAAGAACATTATTTTGTGTATTTGGTATAATGAAATGTGTTTATGCGGTTTAAGGTTCAAAAAACAAATTTTCCACATACTGTACATACTGTTTCTCCTCTATGCCCCGCCTTTCTGAAACGCATCGATTTTTACGAAGCTCATCGAAAAAGCAAGTCTTGCGTGAGTGGCGGCCGGCTGCCTAGAGTATGCGGAGGCCGGCTTGAGTGAGCAGAGGTGGCGGGCTTGAGAACGGCGCGTCCGGCGGATTCGACGAAGGAGCGTCCGGCGGGCTTGCGGCAACCACATGACTGTGTGTGCTAGTGTACTCCTAAATTATATTTGATGAAATAAATATATGTACAATTATACTCTGTTACACACACACTACCATGCAAAGTTTTTTTTAATTTTTTTTTTAAAGAAAACTGAAAAGAAACAAAACTGATCAAAAGTGACAGTAAAGACACATATTATGTTGCAAAAAATATAAAAGTAAATACTGTTTTTTAACTTTCTATTCATCAAAGAATCCTGGAAGAAATGTGTCACAGTTTAAAAAATATTAAACAGCATAACTGTTTAAAATTGGTAATAATAAGTAAAAAATAATGGTACAAATAATGTTTATTAAGCACTAAATCAGCATATTAGAATGATTTTTGATGGATCGTGTAACTATCTATCTATCTATCTGTCTATGGAAAAAAGACAGGGAAAGTTTATTTAAACTAAGTAAAGAGGATCAGTTTCATGTTGACTTAAAAGTCAGTATAAATTCAAATTTTGATGGACATGGTTTCCTTGAACCTTGTATGAGCCAGCAAATTTCTTTTAGATGTTTCTTTATATCAGTAGTTAAATATTTTAAATGCATATAATCAACAGTTTATGGTTTTCAGCTGATTTTTTTTATAGACTGGTCTTTTCAGTCTTTGCTTCTGTTGATGTTAACCTACCATGTTACATAATGTAGGCCTGGTCAAAACAGCTCTGACAAGTTTTATGCAGTGATATCAAAGACTATAGCATACCCAAGACGTGTCATTTGTATAGTTTTGAATGGGGAAAAATGCAACGCTCAATATGGCCGCTCTATCGAAGGAAGTCTCGCCTTCTGAATAAAAGAGCTAATCTGTAAAGTCATCGTGTCACTGCAGCTGTTAGAAGTCCTGGTTGCTATAGAAACAACGTTGTGGAGATGCACGCTTAGGACTGCGCATGTGCATTGGCTGGTCTAGCCTGAAAAACAAGCTTTTTTTAAACGCTATTGGAGCATAAGAAAAAACATTTATGAGACAGTTGTTGTCAGATTTCATTGGTGCGCATTGGCTGGTCTAGCCTGAAAAACAAGCTTTTTTTAAACGCTATTGGAGCATAAGAAAAAACATTTATGAGACGGTTGTTGTCAGATTTCATTGGTGATTTCAAATATGAAATTTAATCGTAAGGTTGGCGAAAAAAAAAAATGTTTTGGAGAATTTGATGTTTCCCCATTCAAAGAGATAGGAGCTGCACTTGCATGCCCGAGAGGCGTTTCAAAGATGGCCGCCGAGTGACATGACTTGCCTTAAAGTGACTTTGGTAATATCTGTTCACTCAGGGTCTAAGTCTTACAGTAGTAGGCATTGGAGCTCTGTTCTCGCTGCTCTTTCACCTGGGCACACGGGAGAAGGGGGCACGTCCCCGTCAGGAGGAGGAGGGGTCTAGTCCTGGGGAGTGCCAGCCTCTTCTTAACAACACCACTGTTGCTCCTCCCACAAGTCTACTGCAGTGGAAGCACTGGCTGCGACAGCCGTCATTCTACCAGGTTAGCAGCCAGTACCCGTGTTACTCTTTAGTGGCGTGTAATGTAATTCTCAGCTTTTGTGATTAATCTGAATAGTGGCTTGAAACACAGTGTTATCACTTAATCACAGTGGTGTGAAAACGTTCAGGACTGTATTTAGTAATTGTCTGTTATAACTGACAATCAGAAAGTTAATATCATCTCTTAACCCTGCTCTGTTATTCAGGTGGCTATGCTTTATATGTCCACCAGACTGATAGTGAACCTGTCACAAGCATACATATCCATGTATCTCACCTACACACTACTGCTGCCAAAGGTAAAACAACTATAGTAATACTACACTTTGCACCCAGTTCATCAACAAAAGCATAGAAGAAAAAAGGCAGTGATCTCTGTTTGATCCTCTTTCTTGCAGAAGTACATAGCCACCATTCCCCTGGTCATGTTCCTAAGTGGCTTTGCTTCCTCGTTTATCATGAAGCCTCTAAGCAAGCTAATGGGCAAATGTGTGAGTATGAGTTTGCATGTGTGTCTTTTGATTGAAATATAAGCTAAAATACCTCTTCCCATTGTTGGAAGTGATTAACAATCCAGAGATACCAGTCAGTTTTGCTGCGTCATATATGTGTGATCAAATTTATGAGTTGTGCAGACACGAACACCACTATAAAGTTGTGGGGAAATGTGTGATTTTTCTTTGAGCCCAAGCTTTACAAGTTGGAGGTATGTCAATTATAGATTGACATACCTCCAACAGCCGACTGAATACAGTTCGTCGCTTTTCACTTTTCCCATGACCCGATGAACACTGATTCATGTTCAATCCGCGAAAACAAGCACCTGCCAATGCCAACAGGGGTAACACACTGATCGGACAAAACCAGACCAATGTGTCAGTTGCGGTTTAAAAACATCAGTCGGTGCAGTGTGAATTGGCCTTTCGACTACCTCATGCAGGTTTTTCAAGACCGCTGGAACCCTGATTCTTCCAAAAAAAAAAAAAAAAAAAAAAAAA